TCAGGACTAAGGATGAAACCCAGGGTTTTGCAATGATCTGAATCCCCAGCTGCTTTATTGTTTTATTTTGAGACAGGTTCTCTCCAAGTTGCCCAGACCGGGATCCCATGATTCATTTGCCTGCCTCAGTTTCCCAAAGTGTTGAGTACACCATCTCCTTCCTCCCCGCCTGTGAGATTCAGCTGCAGCTCCGCAGAGCCCTCTGCAAGAAAAGACCAGAACACCGCAAAGGGCCTAAGCAGAGCTGCACTGTCCCCAAGACTCCCTGCCCCGTGCGTGTCCACCTCCCACGTCACCGGCATGCTGGAGACGTTTCTGCTGTGTTTTTTGGTCCCTTTTTTAAAATTAGTGTCTGATTGTGGTGCATAATGATGAATCCACCGAGCGGTACCTCCCGCTCCCCAGCGCTCTCCACAAATCCCGGCTCCCCTGTGCTGCTGTGTGGCACTCAATTTGCTCCTCAATCGCTGCGCTGCTCTGGTCTTCTGTGTGAGAGAATCCAGGCCACACTGGGCCTTCGGGTCTGACCACGTCCTGAGTGTCCTCTCAGGGTGCGGCCCTTGGTTTTTGAACTTCCCGAGCCACCAGACGTCCTGTACGGGTTCCTGTTCTCTAAAATCGAAGAATGAATTTGAGGAACAATGGAGAATAATGTATTGAAAGGAATATATTTAAGAGCATTGAATATATTTATTGAGAGAACGAAAGCTTCTGTCTGAGAGAAAGAGACGGGACAGAGGGGTCCCCAGCGGGTGGCCAAAGACTCTGTGTGTTCCAGGGACTTTCATAGAGCAAAACCACAAAGTGATTTTGGGTCCAAGGTGGGCACGAGGTGGGCCAGAACTGTGGTCAGTCAGTGAGACTAATCGCTCAGATAAAATCCACCAAACTGGGGACAAATGGGGGGCCAGTCACCTAGCAAGGGGGCAGTGAGCCTGTCTGCAGGGGGCGGGTGGTGACCCCCTGGCGCCCTCAAGGTGACCCTGGCTCTTCAGAACACCAATCCCTGACGTTTTCACTTCTCCTGTGGTTGCATGTCTTTTGCCCCCGGCCTGGAGGTCTGGCCCAAGGGGAGGCTCTGTGTCCTCCAAGGTTACAAGGCGTCCGGTCTCCTGCACCCCCGGCTCCCTGCAGGGCGCCCCTGTCTGACCGTCTGCAATGTGCTCCTAGCTCAGGTGCCTGCAGCCGCTGCACGGAGGCGCCGGTCAGAAAGTCGGTCAAGGTGCGCGCGGAGCTCGGAGCCCCAGTGGTTTCCTGGAACCCGCGAGCGTGTCGGGGTGCAGCGCGCGCGCTGGGGGCCAAGGGTCTGGAGCCCCAGGCCCTGGGGTTGAGAGACCCCAGCTCTGGGGTGGCTGCGGGTTGCACCCCGACCCACCCCACCCCACCCCACCCCTCGCAGGCCGTGAGTCCATTTGCAGGGCGCACGGGACGCGGTGACCCCAAGTCTCCGGGTCCCTACACGGTTACCCCAAGTCTCCCGGTCCCCACGCGGTCACCCCGTCTCCGGGCCCCCCCCCACCCGGCCTCGCCCCTGGTTCGCGGACCCAGACTTCGCCTTCCCGGACCCGGGTCGGTCCGCACTCCCGGGGGTTCCATCCGAGCTCCCCCGCACCCCTTCCCCACTCTCCCGGGGTGACGTGGGCTGCCCTGCAGCGCCCGGGTGCAGAGGACGCGGGAGAGGGCGCAGCGACCAGGCCACCAGCGGAGACCCGCAGGAGCCAAGGCCCGGGTTGTCCGGGGTGTCCGGTCTGGTTCTGTCCTCCTTCTCCTGCAAGCGTCCATCAGCCCGGCAGGTGTCTGGTGCGCCGTTGCATGCAGACTTCGTTAGGGCAAGATGGACAGGGTGGACGCTGGGTCCAGGGACAGCGTCTCCTTCGAAGCTGCGCGCTGCAGCACGGCCGCCATCCAGCACGCGGGAAGCCGAGGCAGGAGGATCCCAGGAGGAGGCCACCTGCGGACCTTAGCGGACCTTAGCTGGACCCGATAAAAACAGCTGGGAATGTGGCCGGGTGCTGAGGCCTGTGTCACTCTCCACAGCCACAAATGTGTTTTAAAATAAATAAAAAGTGGAGAGAGAGGGAGACACACAGGCAAGACCGCCTTTGTCAGAAGCCACAGAGCTGATGGTGACCCGGGTACAGGAAGATTTTCTGTTCTTCGGACTTTAGCCTCCAGCCTGGGGGAATCGCTTTCTGTTATTTCTTTGTGGTGACACCCCGAAAGTAGGTGCTTGTAGAGCCTGATGCAGGATTCATGCTGGGAGTCACAGACCTTGTGCGTGTGTGTGTGTGTGTGTGTGTGTGTGTGTGTGCAAAGCACTCACCCGGAACCGCAACCCAAAGAACTCACCCTGAACCCCAAATCCCCCTGCAGTCTGTACATAGCACATCTGTATCCTCGAGGGCGAAGAAATCTTTGGGTTTTGTTTGGTTTTGGGGGGTTTTGTTTTATTTAAATGAAGACTAAACAAAACATAAAAAGGGTAGAAATAATACATATCTTCAAAGAAAAAATAAACAGTAAGAAATCACTAGTTGATTGCATATTGTCCTCTTACAAACAGTTGTTCAAGTTACAAAATTAAAGCATACAAAGGGACATTCAGACAGTGAGACTGCAGACAGTTCTGTTCAAAGATCCAACAAAAACTTAGCAATGTGGTTATCAATCATACAGTTAAACATACATGCAGTTATCCATATCTTCATTTATGTTGACATTGAACAAACCCAAGCAGGCTACTATCACTCTGACAAAGAATAATACTATTGCTGGGTGTCACATTGTGACACTTCGGGTCAGCACTGGGTACTTTAGTGTCTCTTTTTCTCAAAGTATTTGTTTGTTTTGTCATGAGTTATAAGGTCAGTTCTGTAAACCTTTTATAAGTTCTACACATGGATGAGTCTTGACATGTATGTCTATCCTTTCTATATTAGAGGGAGAAACAAAACAGAGCAAGACAAAAGAAAACATTCCTATAAACACATGAAACGGAAAAAGTCATATAAACCCACTGTACAGAGCTCTACCACGGTTACAGTGTTGCCTCTTGTCATCTCAATAGAATCGGCTCTCATCAGGGTTAGTATGTCTGAATATAGCAGTACATGGCAATATTAATAAAAACACAACTTTGTAGATAGTGTAAAACTTCAGGAGCGGGCAGTAATCAAGCCGGCAGGCACCGCGGTGAATCTTGTCATCTGCAGTGTAGCCGCCTGCACTCTCCGACTTGACACTACCAATCATAGCAGATTTTAATAAAACCCAAACAGCAATGAAACAAACCAGATTTAACTAAGATCTGCCATGATAAAACAGTGTACGCTATACAGGGCTTCAGACGAAGTTAATAGGGGATTCAGGATGATGACCGCACTGTATCCTGCTGTTTGGGGGGCAGCTGTCTGCGCCCTCAGATCCAGTGCAGGTAGACAAACTGGGACAGAATAAAATCTATCTACACAGAGCGCTGTGAGTGATTGGGTTTTAGTTCCCGATGCACCATTAACAATATCCTCTGCTGTCTTTTTTAAGACTGTTCCTCCCTTCGCTCCCCCGGGGTGCTCAGTGCATTTTTGGGTCCCACCACCTCCCTCTGTTTTTAGATTGGGGGGCAGCCTGCTGTTACCAAGGTGGCTCCGAACTCTAGAATACATGAAGCAGGTTCAAAGAGATCACCAGGAAATAAAAAATTCCATTGAAAGCTGGCAAAACTGCTTGAGAGAAACTCAGGATAGACTATCAAAGCTTGAAGACAGGTTTGCAATGTGATCATGAAAAGGAAAAATTTCTTAGAAAGCTTCAGTTTTACAAACTGAAACAGGCCCGCAGCACACTGCAGAAATGTGCTATTTTCTTTTGAACGTGAGAGGCAATGGTGCCTCACCGGGGAGAAAAAGAAAGGGGTGCAGACGCGGGAGGTTTGGGTTTCACTGCTCCTGCGGATGCGGGGAGACAGAAAGTGAAAGAAAGGGGGGCTCGGCCCGCCCGGGGGTACGGGGTACGGCGACCTAGGCCTGGCCTCCCAGCACCTCGGGGCTGAGGCAGGAGGATCACAGTTCCAACCCAGCAGGGGAAATTCAATTCGGTGAAACTTGGTCTCCAAACTAAAAAGTAAACGATACAAAGGGCTGGGAATGGGGCTCAGTTCAAAATCCTGGGGGTCAATTTTCAATCCCACACCCCAGCCCCCCCACACACGCACCCCCAGAACAGATGCAGTCACAGCTGGGGGTGGAGGGTTCAGCGGAAAGTCACAGACAGCCACAGCGCACCGCAGCTCACACACACACAGCGCTCCCCTGCACGGACTCAGGGCACAGACAAGGGCGGGCGGGAGTCGGGAGGGACAAAGCTGGGACCCTGTCAGCGACGGGCCCATCCATGTGCTCACCGAGACCACAGCTCTCTCTCCTGCCCGCTGCCCACACAGTCAGTCACCCTGCCCGGAGACCCACAGCTAGAGACCCGCGGCACACGCCATCAGGCCCGGTGCAGAGGACTCCCACGGCGGTGTGGAGCCGGGTCCCGGCATCTCAGGAACCCGACAGGTCAGCAGAACTAGCGTGAGATTCAGCTCGTGAGCTGTCAGCAGCGGCTGGAACTTCAGAGACAATCCGTAAAGCTCCACGACATGGAGGGAACAGAAGATACAAGGCCGGGCGTGGTGGCGCCCACCTGTCATCCCGGGCACTCGGGAGGCTGAAGCAGGAGGGTTGCCTTGCCAGGGGCCACCTAGGGAATTCAAGGGCAGCCTGGACCGCACAGCAAGACCCTGACTCAAAAATAAAACAAACAAGTTAAGTAACAGCGAGAACACAGGCTGAAGAGGGCAGTCACCTTGTTTTCATAATAATTTTTTTATTTTATTAGTACATTTGCAATTCATGCAGTTTGCAATCATCTTTGGAAGTGGCTACGTGTACATATTACAGTTTATTTTTTTAACCTCCCTTCCTCCCCCTTTCCCTCCCTTCCCCCTCCGATTCCCCCAGGCCCCTGTCAGCCTTGCTGGTATCATTTGTCTTAGCTCATTTGATGGCGGGTGGTGCTTACAATGATCATGATTAGCTCCTGCACATCGCATTATCTCTATTCTTCTCATCCCCTTCTCCTCACCCCTCACCCCTGCGCCCTTGTCCCCTTGCGTCACCACCTAAGCCTGTGTGCCCAGTTGGTTTTACCCGAGATTATATTTTAGGGGCACCCACTTTCCTGGAAATGACTCACATATGTCACTCTTCGTGGCTGCATAGTATTCCAGGTTTCCTTCATCCAGTCACTCAGTGATGGGAATCCAGGCTGCTTCCAGGATTTAGCTATGAGGAGCTGTGCTACCATACACATGGGTGTACGCACCTGACTAAAGTTTAACAGCAAAGACCAAATTTTAATACAAAATCCACTTTAGTGCCGAAGAATCTTTATCTTCTTATTCTTTTAGCAATGGAGACTGAACCCGGGGCCTTGACTCAGGCCTTTATTTTTTATTTTCAGATAGGATCTCAGTAAGTTGAGAAGTTACCCATGTTTGACTCCAACTTGGGATCCTCCTGCCCAGCTTCCCCGAAGGCCCTGTACCCTTTGATACAATACCTCATTGTCGGAGTCGAGCCCCAACTGCAGTCGCCGTGGAAATGCATATTAAAAATTCGTAGAGAAGGACACAGCTCAGCAGTAACGTAGCTGCGTAGTGCATGCCCGGCCCTGGGCTCCGTCTCCAGCACCCAAATCTGAACAATTAACAAAATCAGATCACCGTCTGTCTCCAGTTTTGTCCTTTTGAGAGCATCATACGGCAGGAATCCCACAGTACACCCCGAGATGCGTCTGTTTTTCTACCTGTGACGCAGAGTTGCCCTTCTGCTGATGGACGTACAGGCCACCCCCAAAATTTAGCTGTTATGGTTTGTGCTGCTATAAACAGGGGGGCACATGCGTCACGACGATAATACTGTTACCTCTTTCAGGAAGACTCCCAGAGGAGGCTCGGCTGGATCAAACGGTATTTCTGTTTTACCTTTTGGGGAATCTGCAGGAGGCCCCCATAGTGGCGGCCGGACGGCCCACATAGCTGCCCGCAGCGCAGACCTGCTCTTCTTCCCAGGCCTCAGCGGGGCCTCTGAGTTTTGATTTCTTGATGACAATCATCCTTTCTGCATTTAGACAGAATCTCACTGCCATTGTGATCTGTATTTTAGTGGCCAAACGTGCTGAGGATTCCTCTGGATCTTTTGTATTTCTTCTTTTGAGAAGCGTCCATTCACTTCAATGTCTCATGTTTTGGATCAGACCTTTTATTTGGGAGGATCAAATTCTTTAAATTCTTTGTGGCCTGCATTTTAATTAGTCCTCTGCCTGAGGAGTATCAGGCAAAGTGTTGTTCTCATGCTGTAAGTTGTCTTTTCATGCTATTTGCTATTTCTTCTGCTGTGCAGAAAGCTTTTAACCCCACGTAGTGCCATCTGCAATTCTTGGAATTATGCTTTAGGAAATTGGGGTCCTGTTCAGGAAATAACCAAGTTAAGGGCAGAGTGTCAGCCCTAAAACATGGGGTGCATACAGGTGACCGTATACCAGACACATTTTCAAAATAAAATTTAAAATGAGTCAAACACCAGGCAAGCACAAACCCCGAGTTTGATTCCTGATACCAAAAAAGTAAAATAAAGTGGATCAAACAGCAACTAGATGAAAAGAATAATCTAAGATTAATAAGAATTAGTAAAAACTCAAAATATATCACAAATGGCATTAAAAATCTGATTTATAGAAATAATAGCAAGCTGGACTGGTGGCTCACGCCTGTAATCCCAGCACGCGGGAGGCTGAGGCAGGAGGATCCTTGTAAGTCCGAGACCAGCCTGGGCTACACAGTGAGCTCAAGGCCAGCCTGAGCTGCACAGCAAGACCCTATCTCAAAAAGACAAAAAAAAAAAAAAAAAGAAAAAAAAAAGAAAACTTTGCAAATATAGTAAACAATTTAAGATACACAGAACCAAGGTATATATAGCCCAAAATAGCCACAATCAGAGAAGCTCTCCATTACACATCACAGTTAAAATCCTAGAAGTCCAACACAAAAGCAGAATTTTTAAAGTTGTTAGAGAAAAATGATAAATCATTATAAAGGTAAACTCATCAGCATCACAGCAGACATCTCAGTACAAACCTTAAAGGCCGGGAGAGTTTGGAGTGAAATTTTGTTGTTGTTGTTGCTGTTGTTACTGTTTCATTTTCTTTTTGGTTCCGGGGATCGAACTCATGGCCTCACGCTTGCCAGGCAGGCGCTCCTGCCGCTGAGCTAAATCCCTGGCTGGAGTGCAATGTTTCAATCCCTAAGAGAAAACAACTTCCGGCCCACATTAATATGTCCTGAGAAATATCTTCCAAATTGATAGAGAAAGAAGATCTTTCCATGACAAAGAGCACCGTAAGAAGTGGTGATCTGGGTGTAGTGGCACAAACCTGTAATCCCGGCACTCGGGAGGCTGAGGCAGGAGGATCGCGGTAAGCTCAAGGCCATCTGAACTGCATAGAGAAGCCTGTCTCAAAAGGACAGAAAAATTATGAATATCAAACCAGCCCTCCAATGTTCTAGAAAGAGAGGTTGAAAGTAACTGCCACAACTCTGAATGGATCACTGGCAGGGTGATCAGGCCAGCGGAAGGGAATCAAAGGGATCAGCAACAACAAACTAATGCAATGGATAAGCCAGTTCCTGTCCATAATACAACTAACTGTAAATGGTCTCAGCACCACCATCAAAAGGCACAGACCAGCAGACTAAATTTAAATTGTAAAAAAAAAAAAAAAGGTTTTCTGAGACAGGGGCTCCCCATGTAATCCGGGCCAGCCTCAGACTGCTGGGAGTCGCCCTGGCTCTCCTCTCCAATGCTGGGATGGCAGGCGTGAGACGCCGTGCCTGGCCCAAAACTTGAAAGGTTAAGTGGACTCTAAACGTGTGAAGGACTTACTCTGGGTGTCGGTGTGGGTTCTGGAGTCAGTCTCCATTTAGCTGTCTTCCTGTGACAGGATGGCAGTGCCCTGACCCTGGTGATGTGACGTGTGCCCCTCACCATGCGCCCAGCGATGAGTGTACTCAAGGAAGAGAGGAAGTGGGGTGAACCTCAAGGACACGTCCCCTGTGAGCCCAACATCTCCTAGCGACAGATTGCAAAATAAAGATACAAATAAGCACACAACTAAATAAATAAATGCACAATTTTTTAAAAGCCAGCAGGATGCTGTCTGAGAGATACATAGTATACCCAAAATAAATTAATAGAACAAAAATCAAAGCATGGGAAACAATATTCCATGCCATAGGCAGGAATATTGGGAGCATGAGCCTTAATTCCAGCTACTCGGGAGGCTGAGGCGGGAGGATGGTTGCTAGTTTGAGACCAGCCTGGGCTACACAGTGAGCTCAAGGCCAGCCTGAACTGCACAGCGAAACCCTGTCTCAAAAATATGCCAAAACAATGATAAAATACAAATAATAATAATAATAATAAAAGAAATATACCACATACTGCCCTAATGATACACATCAAGGTCCTAGAGAAACAAGAACAATCCAGATCCGAACCGAATACAAGGAAGGAACTTATAAAGCTCAGAGTAGAAATTAATGAATCAAAACTGGAAAAGGGAACAGCCCGCCTCCTCCTGGCAAGCACTGTGCGCCCGCAGGCCCCGCGCTGAGGGTCAAACACCCCATCTGCCCCCCATTTCCTCCCCGCTCCGTTAGAGGTCTGGGCATCTTGGAAGGACGACCGTGTGCAATATAGCAAATATGGGGGACTTCCTTCCATCCTCTCTTTGAAGGCAAATATTGTTTTCACCGTTTTTGCTTTGTTCTGACCTGATTAAATGGACAACTATTGTGAAGATAACGAGATACACTAAGGGACCTGTCATCACTGCTGGTCACATGCGGTGAAGTTCTGTATCATTCTGCTGCATTGTCTCGACTGGCTTTGTTCTGTCTTGTTCTGTCGTATTTTACTATTTTCAAAATTAAAAAAAAAAAAAACTAGAAAAGAGAGACAGTTAAGGAAGATGGTTTGTACACTCTGCCACAAAGAGAAATAAAATTGAGTCATTTGTAGCAAAGTAGTTGCACCTTTAGACAATAACGTTAAGTTAAATAATAATTTTAAACATCACCCAGTTTGTCGTCCATGCGAAATCCAGAATCTAAGTAAACCACAGAGGAGAGGCTGGGGATTAGCTCAGCAGCGTAAGCACCTGGCCGACAAGCACAAGGTTCTGAGTTCCATCTCTGGTACCAAAAAAGAAAGAAAGAAACAAAAAATAAGGGCACAAATGGAAGACAGATCATCTGCAAGTGGGAAGTAGACCACGAGCCGAGGGAGGAGGACACGGTTAGAGACCCTAACTAGAACTAAAGTATGTTAAGTACATGCACCAGCTCACAAGATCCACACAATCATCGTGTAAATAAATGACTGGTGCCTCCTGGGAGCCAGGCCCTGGCGGGGAGACCAGAGGAGCCTCCCTCACCGGCGCCCTCTAAGCTACTGGCTGATTCAGAGCAAGGCAGGCTGATATGACAGCAACTGGACTTAAAAAACAGCTTGATGCTTGTATTATTTGACTCTGCGGGCCTAAGGATGGTAGTCTGAGGTTTACATAGAGGCTAACCATGTATATTATAGCACCTGTGGAGGATTTCCTTCTGGCTTGTTTTTGAAATCCGATATTGTTCTTACTGTTTTGTTTTATGCCCTTTAAAATAAAAATAATAATAAATAAAATAATAAATAAATGAGGCCGTGAAGTGAACGTTGAGTGACCATATGAGGGGTGATTGAAATAGGCAGTGAAAGTGTCGCCATCCTCCTCGGGTGACTTCTCCGCCCCTCACACACCCTTCTCCATCTTTCTGGCCACTGTCTGAAGCAGTAAGTCCTGTTTCAGCAGTGCTTGCAAAAGGTACGATCCAAAACCCAGCGGGGGCTGCTGCTGGGAGCTGGCTTTCCCCAAAGTCAAGGTCACCGTGGAAGGCCAACATTTTGCATCAAGTCCAGACCCTGAGGCAGCCGCAGCAGCAGCATCAGGGACACGCACGAAAGAAGACTTCAAAAGCGCTTCAGGAGGTGCGAGGTGGCATCAGTGGACTGGAGACAAAGGAGGACTTGGGGAAGCGTTCACGGCAGTGGGTCTCTTACTGTGATTTTTTTTTACATTTAGACCTCCGCCATATGTGTCCATCCCAGGAGACCGTGCGGAATTCGAAAATATTCAGGAAGGAGACTTTGAAGAAGTGATATTTTAGGCAAACATGAAGAATGTATAAACTTGTGATCCCAGCACTCCAAAGGCCAAGGCAGGAGGATCTCTGAAAGTTCAAGACCAGCCTGGGCTACAAAGTGAGCTCAAGGTCAGCCTGAACTACATGGAGAGACTCTACCTTTAAAAAAAAGAAAAGAAAAGAAAAACGAGTAAGAGTTACCTGGGGTAAAGGGAAAGATTTCCAGGAGAGTGAGGAAGATATTTCTTGGCTTCCAGAACCAAACTGAGCAGTAGATGGGAAACAGACAGGAGAAACCAAAGCAGGAAACGGCAGAGGAAGAGACCGCAGGAGATCCCTCTGAAGGAGGTGGTGGGACTGGCTCACTACAGACCTCGGAGGATTTCTAAGGCGCGGTCTTGATGTTTGGCAAAGATGAAGTAAATCTGTGGACCCTAGCCAATCCGGATTGCGGATTCAGGAAGCAGCCCGCACATCAATAATACCCTGCCCAATAGGATTGCTGCATGTTGGTTGGCCAGCCAATCAGCTCTCTTTGGACTCTTCCCATTGCCGCCCATGGTTCTGCGTACCTTTGCTCAGGAGCCTGATGTATCAGTTATCCCTGTGTAACAAATTATCACAAAAGTAGCTAGAAGCAATACCAATTTATTATCGCATGGGTAAAGCTCAGCTGAGTTCATAATGCAGCTGTGGGCCAGCCTACGCCCCCCAAGAAGGCTGTAGGGAAGAATTGTGTCTCGGTTCATTCCTACGAGTCAGAATTCAGGTCCTCGATTTGGAAGACCTTGACTGCTTTTTCACCGTTGTTAGCCAGGGGTCACTCTCAGCTACTAGAAGATCTCTGGAGTCTTTGCATGTGCCTCCCACTGTCTTCAGAGCTAGAAATCACAGGTCAAACCCTTGTCAAGCTCTGATTCTCTGACTTCTGGTTTCCTGCATCTCTTACCTTAGATGCAGATTTAAAGAGCTCGTGTGATTATTTAGGGTTCACTTTGGTAACCTCTATCACATAATTCTGCTGACCACATCCAGCAAATTGTTTAAAATAATAATAATATTCCTGATGCCACACATGAAAGTTTCAAATCTGCAGATCACAGGTGGGCTCCGTGGTTTTAGTATTTAAAGCTCCCAAACTGGGCATGGGAGGCCAAGGCAAGAGAATTCTCTTGAACCACTTAATAACTGAGCAAAATGCCATCTGAAAATTAAACAGCTCGGGAAGTAGCTCAGTCCAAAAGCCCAAACCCCAGTGCCACCAAATAAATAAATAAAGCTTCCAAGATGATTCTGACAGGCAGCCAGAATAAAAAAAAAAAAAAAATCCTTGGTAACTGTTTTTGCTTGTGCCTAGAATAATTCTAATACCTGTTCAAGCTTTCCCAGAAGACCAAAAAGGGCAAATGACAAAAGAAAATAAGAGAAAATGAAATAAATGAAAACAACACATTGAAAGAGTTGTGGAGAAATACTCAAAACAGGGAGGGGGAATGAGAGGCTCTGTCCCAATCACTCCTAGATATTTACAGTCTTCATCACGTTCCTAGAAAGTCTACGTTATCAAAAGAAGAAACGTGAATGCAAAATGGGAAGAGAAGAAGATGCAAACGTCTAGAGATGGCTGGTGGTGCTGAGCAGCAAGCTGCATGTGTGTAAGTGATGCCAGGAAACTGCACACTTCCACGGGCTGTGGATTTAGCTCAGCGGTTTGAGTGCCTGCTGGCAAGCACGAGGTTGTGAGTTCGATTCCCATCACCAAAAAAGAAAAAAAAAATGTGCACATTCAAAATGATTAAAATGGCCAAAATGCGTAATGCATCTTTGTCAACAGAAACATACTTAAGTGACCCGGACATGGTGCCCACACCTGTGACCCAGAACTCGGGGAGGCTGAGGCAGGAGGGCTGCACATCCAACCTGGCTGCTTAGTGACTTACGGAGACCCCGCTGCAAAATTTTTAAAAATTTCAAAGTGTTAAGGATCAGTTCCGTCCCCAGACTGCAAAATAAAAGGAGGAAAATAAATGAGAAGACAAGCAGTGAATCATTTTCCATGAAAACTGTGCCACGTGGTGGAAATATGCACACGAGCTCGCAAGTTTCTTTTTCTGTTTGATTAAGCAGCTGTTTCTTAAAAAGAGATCAGCGTTTGCGTCTTGCAAAACTGAACGATGTCAGCACATTCCATCTGTAGCTACTATGCTAAAAGCAGTGAACCTGTTTCTGAAGACACTCGGTGGCAGTCTCGCTGCCCGAAAAGGACCCACATCAGTGCAATCGGAGAGTGAAAAGGTGAAACCAGCCCACTCGGCTGAGATGCAGATTATACAGTAACGACTTCAAGAATCTGCATTCTAATAAAATGGAAAGTTCAAAGAAACGGATAGATTCCTAGATACGTGCGAACTACCAAAGCGAAAAACACAAAACCTGAATAATGCAATAGTAGGCAATGAGAGGAAAAAAGTAACGTTTTTGCAACTAACAAGAATGGCCCACGTCTGTCATCCCAGCACTCGGGAGGCTGAGGCGGGAGGATCATTGGGAGTTCGAGACCAGCCTGGGCTACACAGTGAGCTCAAGGCCAGCCTGAGCTGCATAGTGAGACCCTGTCTCAAAAAGACAAAAAAATTCAAAAAATGAAAATAAAACTAACAAGAAAAGCCCAGATCCCAGGGGCTTCCTTGCTGAATTTTACAAGAACTTTAGGGAAGATCTAATGACAGCACACCTCGAAGTCTTCATTGAAATAGAAAGGGACGCAGTATATTCAAAACCATTCCTGAAAGCTCGCTTTACCCTGATTGCAAAAGAAAAAGATTCAGCCAAAAAAGAGAACGACAGGCCTGTCTCTTCAGCGAACACTGACACAACACCCTCCACAACACTCTGCTGACTGGGATGTAACAGATCGTCAAGAAAAGCATGTATCGTGACTAAGGAGAATCACCCAGGAACGCAGGGGTGGCTCAGCATATGCACCCCAGAAGTGCAACACGTCACACACACAGCAGCAAAGACAGAGATAAATGATCCTTTCAATTGCTGCAGAGAAGGCCTTTGACAAACTGCAACTCTGTTCAGAATAAAAACCCTGAAGAAAATAGGTACAGAAGGACCTAATCTCAGTCTGATGAAGGGTTTTGTGACAAATGATCAATATCGTATTAAAAGGGAAATTAATTGCTTTTCCTCTAAAACCAGAAACAAGGCAGGGTTCACTGTCACCACAGCTCTGCATTACAGCTCTCAAAACGTTGGCCTGAGCTAACAGGGAAGAAAAAGATATAAAAGGAATATGCACAGGAGAAAATAAATCAAATTATCATTATTTGAAAATGACATGATTCTCTATCTAGAAGACTCAAACACTCCTAGAATTAAGAACCAAATTCATGAATCAGGTGTGGTGGCGCACACCTGTCATCCCAGCACTCGGGAGGCAGCAGGATAGTTCCGAGTTCGAGACCAGCCTGGGCTGCAGAGTGAGCTCAAGGCCAGCCTGGACTGCACAGCGAGACCCTCAAAAACAAACAAACAAAAAAAGAACCAAATTCATTAGCAATAGTTGCATACAAGGTCAACACACAAAACTCACTAGTGTTCCTGTACACTAATAATAAACTCACTAAGAAAGAAAGGAGAGGAACAATACCTCTCACAGTGGCATCAAGAAAAATTTAATACTGAGGAATTAGGCTAACGGGGCAAAGGGAAAGACCTCAGCAACAAAAGCTCTAAAAAAAATCTCATAAAGGATAGCAGAAAATGGAAAGATAACCCCTTGTTCTTTTTCTTTCTGTCCTTTTGAGGGAGGGTCTCATTGTGTAGTCCAGGCTGGCTTGCAGCTCACTTTGCAGCCCAGGCTGGCCTCGAACTTTCAACAATCCTCCTGCATCAGCCTCCCGAGTGCTGGGATGACAGGCCTCAGCCACCACACCACCTACCCCCTTGTTCTTGAGCATGCAGAGCCAATATACTATCGTTTAAAAGGGCCACTGTGCCAAAACTGATATACACAACCCCAATCAAAATATCAATAGCATTCTGGGACCAGGAATACAGCTCAGTGCCACAGCGCCTACCTGCCAACTGCAAGGTCATGAGTTGATTCCCTGTACCAAGAGAAAAAAAAACAGATGAATTTAGGCCCTTATCTCTCACCATATACTTTGTTAAAATCAAAATGGACCAAAGATCTAAATATTAAAATTAAAACACTTTGCTCGAGTATAAAATAGGTAAAACTCTTGAAGATATAAGCAAGGACTTTCTGAACAGAAACCCAATTGTACAAGAGAGAGCATCAAGAATCAAGGTTGGATCAAATCAAATTTAACAGCTTTCACACAGCAAAGGAAACAATCAACAGAACAAAGAAACGACCTAAAGAACACCCTATAAAATTTGCCAGGTATTATTCAGACAGTGGACTAATATGCAAAATATATAAAAACTCAAAAACCAGACAAGTGAAACAGACACCTCTCAGGGAAATTACAAGCGGCCAATAAATATGTTAAAAAGTGTCACATCCCTATTAGAGTAACTCAAATAAAAACAAAACTTAGATCCCTGTTACTACAGAAAGAACAGCTGTCCTCAAAGAACCAGATAACAACAAATGCTGGTGAGGCTTCGTCACCGCTGGTGGGAATGTACACTACTGCAGTCCTTATGGAAATCCGGAGGCGAGTCCTCAAAAAGCCAGAACAAGAAATTCTATTGAACCAAGCTAGTCACCTCCTAGGTATCTTCCCAAAAGAATTAAAGACATCACAATTCATTGATACATGCTCACCCATGTTTATGGCCACACAGTTGTTAAAAACTAAATCTTAGCAGTGACCTAAATGTCCAACAGTAGACAATGAAAATGTGGTATTTGCACACAGTGAAGTATTACTGTGTCATAAAGAAGGATAAACTTGAGTCATTTGTAGGAGAGTGGATGCATTTTGAAATCATAAGGTTAAGTGAAATAAATCAGACATACAGGCTTAAATATTACATGGCTTCTCTTATACAAGAAACCCAAACTATAAATACTGTGATACTTTGGGTCACAAACTGGATTCATTCCACAGTTCTGGAAAAGACGGTCACACTCATGTTCATCATCCAATGCAGAATTTGAAAACAAAAACAAAATTTTGCCAAACGCTTCTGTTTGTGAACAGAGGTGTTTATAGGCTGAGGTACCACTGTAAAGAGCAAAATGAGAGACGGATAATGAGAACCAGGGAGATAGACCTCCTGCATGGGAGAAGGTGACCAAGAGATGGTCGGACGGGGAAGGAGGAGAAGAAGGAATCAAGGTGTGTGACGCACAGGCACCAGCTCCTCACAACAAGTTCTACAAACAGCTGCTGACCTGAAAAAGAAAGCCAACAACTAAAGATACATTTGACTTCAT